CTAAAGCAAAAAAAACTTTCTTTTTTCGGATACTGTTACGTTCTACATGGTCTGTTTTTCCACTGCCCATTGCCGGCGGTAACTTACAAGCTTTTTGAGATGGAGTCTCGTATGCGGCGACGTCCACTCACCACAGTGTCATCGCCGCTTATAATCGCTGGTAGGCCATCGAAATCCCCCGTCTATTGCACCTCTAATTCTAAACCTTTCGTAGCTATCAGGAGAAGTCCACAACTAGTCGTACTCAAACAGGTAATCCGGTCCTTCCATTCCATTCTAGCGTGCCAAAGGTAGCCATGAAGGTGCATCTCTGGGTGTGGCCGCCCCAGAGGCTTCTGAGCCGGGCAACCAAACGATATTCGTCAACATGCGGCCCACAGCGAACGGCACCAGATTTGGACAATCTGGTACAAACAGTACAGTGACTAATTCGGTGTTCGGGCCCACCTACAGTTTGGCCACTAAACTGGGCTTACCGCTTCCTAACCTTGCGCCAGATGTTGACGCAGAACCTCACGAACCTTGTCTCCCTCCCACACTGGCCATTTTGCACGCACATGCTCATTCCCGCCCAGGCACATTGAGTTCTGCGCTGGCAGACGGTAGATCGACCGGTCGGCTGAGTGCCAGTGATATACTAGGAGTCGATAATGAAATAGCGAGTGGGACATTGGATTCCGGTCTGATCGAACCTGATGAACCCAAGCGCAAAAAATATGCCAAGGAAGCATGGCCCGGAAAACGTCCTGGATTTCTGGTCGGTCCAACAGCCTGACTTGTTTTTGTACATATCTTTTGTTTGTTTCTCTCACGCCTGCTCACCTTTTGAATGACTGTGTTCACAGAATCCACGGTTCACAACAACCTCCCTTACTTGGGTACGGTTGGTTCTGGCAACATCATTTGCTCCATTTTGCTGTCTTTTTGGACTGCTGCTTTTGCGCTTTGGCATCATTCCAGGCCTTAAGTATTTTCCTGACGGAGTAGACCCATTTGTATGTTTTTTTCGTCCCGGGAGGCGAAGAGTCCACCTGCTGGGACTTCGAGCAGTTTTCTGTTATATATGCTCTTTTATCTGAGTTTTTTTCATGCAGCGTGAAGTCCATTGCTACGCTACATCAAATGTAGGTCTACAACTGTGATATCCTGTGTCGTATTCTAGCTTCGTTCAACCCTAGGATATTGTATACGTTAACTGAACGGAAAAGCAATAGGTTTGTTTAGATGGTTCGCCATCTCTGTCAACTGTTGCCCAGGAAAAAAATATTTAATGGCGGAGCACACCGTTGTCGTAATGTCGCTAAAAGCTTTTATGGCCCACGACTGTTTCCGTCCTTCCTGAGACTCATCAGGTAAGCGCAGTCTCCTAGTTCCCCAGTTGGAAACCAATTTGGACACATTTGGCTGAATACACTCAGTTGAAATTTAAGTTGGTGTTGACAAATATCCAACTGAATCCAGCTGAATCACGTGCTCCGTCATGAAAATATACTGCCATATCTCGAATACTGTAGTGATTGAAGCAGGAGGCGGCATCACATTCACCTGAAGAACATCGTTAGCGAGCGGTTCGCTTGAGATTCATTTGACTCCTGTTAAACCCAGCTTGGTGTGCAGTTGAGTGTACTTGGTCGGTAAGAATGATATATTGTTCTAGTTATCTCTCAAGTAAGCCATCTTAGAGAAAGCTGGCCGAATTAATAGCCTACGTTTTAGCATAAAGAATTTGCGCAGAACAGGAGGCTTTTACCAGTGCGCATTTGGAAAAAAACAGTGACCTCAACTCTGGGCTTTTTTCGCAAAATATCGGATTCTGTAGTCTCCATTGGAAACAAAATCTGTTGCACGAGGTATAGTTACTCACTTGCTATCTTCTCATTAAACTTTAGACATTTATGTACGAAACGTATGACTGTTTCAGTGTGTCTGGGCTAAATTGTGAATTCGCGACGTTTGTTGCATCCAATTCATCTGAGTAGTAGAGCATCAGTAGTTAATGCCATCCAATCATTTCACTCAATACAATATCGTAAGCCGAAGGTGATGTGGCAACTTTGTGTTATGACCTATCTTCTGATATACTAACTGACAGTAATCAGCGCATCGACCCGGTATTCCTATTTTTCTCGTTTCAACAGTTCTCCTTCTATCTAAGTGCGATTATTCCGGTTTCTGTGCGATTATACTGGAGTTACAGGTATCGGTACTAGTCTGAGCAACACTTGACACTTCGCTAATTCCAGTTCTCTAGTTCAATCCCTCGTAATTGGACTGGACACAAATATGTCGTTGAGGCCAATGGTGTTTCGATTAAGTCACAGGCTCCACAAATTCAAACAAATCCATGACCAACGAATTGGAAATGGATTTTGTTAGTTTTTGTAGTGATTCTATCTCCAACATTTGGAACTGAACTATTCAGTGACATCACTTTTTATACCCAGAATCACGGAATCACAGCAAAGGCTAGGCCAAAATGTCACGCGTCAATAGAACACGTACAGACTGAAATATCAAAACAGTGCCATATGAAATGCGGTTAATTAGACTTATTTGAACCGTTCCTCATTGTGTGTGACATTTCAGCAGTCACTTGAACAGGAGTGCGACAACCTGGGTGTTTAGAGTAGCGAGTCGCGCAAAGTGCTAATGGGCTACTTATAGATTGTTGATAGTGTTAGGGAATTTTGGAATTTTTGACGGAGATTTCATGCTGTAAGGCAAGCTGACGGTTTTGTTCAGCCTACAAGCCGGTTCGAAAATCCCTTGAACTTCGTGAGATGTGCGCTGCTTGTGATTCTCAATATGGATGAAACAGCTGCATAGTGCTTCTCGGCTTTTTGGTACAGACCAGCTTCAATTACAAGGCAAAATCTTACACCGCCATCAATCGGGCATGTGCATCACGGCAACCTCAAAGAGATTCCGGCAAAATCAGCAACTGCTCTGTGTCCTCTTCTTAGATTTGAGGAAGATCTTCGACTGTGTCAACCGAAACGTGTTCCGGTCTTTTTTTCAAAATACGGGTGTTCGACAATGGTCGTCAGCCTTTTTCGAAGCCTGTGTGACCGAATGAAAGCGAAGGTGAAAACGAACGGATCGACTTCAAGTGATTTAGAGATCCTCACTGGCGTAAAACAGGCCTGCATCCTTGCCCCTCAAATACCAAACTTTGTTCTAGCTAGCTGTTTACTGAGACATCCTTGAAGTGCTTGGGGGCCATGTGGAATGTGGCGAGTAAGCTTAGGAAGTAAAGCTGTTGTCCGCCCAAATGTGGACAATCAGAATGTTTTATCTAGTTAGTTATCAGTCTTCGTGGGGATCTGATAGTCACCGTGTCGTGCGTTTGAAATTTTACCGCTTGTATGTAGATAGATGTATTTCAGGGGATTCCGTCGGAGTAACAAGATGCGGGTGTATTCTGATCACAAAGGCTGCCATCGGTTAAAAGGAAATCGAAAAGCAGCGAATAAAAAATGGGAGTCGAATGGCAAAGGCTGTTTGAGCTTCGGTCTCGACGATTTCAATGTTTGCTAGGTAACGCGTGTTAAAAGCGGAAAAGTTTTGTAGAGGGGACTACGGAGATGTAAATGAGCGAAATTGTGAGTAGGAGAGGACACAATTAAAAGACGACAGGTGAACATTAAAATATAAATGATGACCGGGAAAACGAGTGTCAGGCTTCACTTGCTTAGGTGGGCCAGGGGAGACGACAGTTCAGTAGGAAAGGATACACAAGAGAACGCAAAAGCGTGAAATTGTCAAGGCAACTCGATCGGCTTAGCTTTGTTATAGAAAAAGGGAATTTTCGGCTTTACGGTGGTTTCATTAGCTATGTAGAGGGAATACTCGCTCATAGGTATTTCAAGCAGTCGGAGTCGGGCACTGCAATTTCTCTCAGGCCTGGATTGATGTGAAAACTTCAGTTGCGCTTATTCAGAGAACTTAAATTGTTAGTTAATTCGCGAGCACCCGGAGGTTAGGTTAGCCACGGATGTCAACTGAGTAAATAGTGCAACAAAACACAAGGTAGTTGTCATATTTGAACGCTTTGTTAGGTGAACGGTCCGAAGAGCATTCGCAAAGCACTTGGGAAGAAATATAAATGAAATTACACCTTGAAGAACAGCAACACTACTGGAAAGAGGCGGACACCATTGCCGCACCGCCTTTGTGTACTGAAGTCGATAGGGTAAATAGTAAACCTGCCAACCATAGGGGTAAGAAGGGCACACAAAAGAATAAAACTTACTTGGAAGAAATTACTTTTACGTTCAGAAGCGCGGAAGGAGGGTCAACAATAACGTCCTACTATAGACTAAGCAATAAAGTGAACGAGGGAACCAACAGCATCGAATGTACTGTGACCTATCATGTAGGCAAATTGGGAGGTTTCGGAAAAGAGGATAAGGTAGGGGCAGTATTTCTGGTCGACTTTGAACGGGGAAATTGCTTCAGAAAAGTTACAGAAATAATCATTATGTTCATTTTTTCTCAAACGTTTCTGAAACGATGACTTATCGATCGGTATCAAGCGTGTAATGAAAGTGTGCTCGAATCCAAAAACGGACCAGCCTCACAATCGCCTTTGTCCTTATTGCGACTCACTAGGTTGGCGTAGAAATCACTCAGCAGTTTCTCCAAGACCAATGTTGTGTACCTAATTGAAATACGTTACTTGCGCCAACCGGTCGACATGTGTGTTCCCTTGTGGAATGACCTGAAACTACCAATCCAATAGTCACATTCTCTCCATATTCTAGTGAGGATTAAAGCATCCGTTGAATGAGCATGTGCATTTGGCCACATTCATTCACTCACTACAGCTATTCATCAAGAAATGAAGTTATTTGCCTTTGATATTATTAAAACTCAGAACAATTTCCTGTTATCTGTTGCTAGTATCAGGTTGTCCCAGTCAAGTAAAAGTAAAGATAGTCGTTTTCGGTGTGCACATGAGGCAACATGAAGTTGCTGTCTTAAAGGGAACTCTATTATCTGTGGGTGGGATTCGATAAATTCATGCTCGTGTTTCTTTCGTTTGAACAGTCGTCCCCCTGTCCTAGCGTACTCATTCTGGTGAGTCCGCACCAAACGGAGGAAGCACTGGATTCGAGTTTTGCTCTTATTAGAGCTCATCAGCAATTCATATCCTTGTCCCTGTCGGGGCTTGAACTCTCTACATCTGACATGCGAGATGAGCTTGCTACCACTACTCCACCAGCACACACTAGGTGCATCTGAAATTTTACGTCTGAACAGGTGAACATGTTCACTGGTAGGCCCGATGCCTCGAACGACGAACCAGTAGCATACCTTGGTTGTGTCGATCAAAAGGAAAACTGGTCATGTACGACTGCATTGAGTAGAACTCCGTAGTTCGTTTTCCCACGGTTCATCTCACTTTGTGGTGGATAAACACCCGGACGCCCAAGTTAGGATGCATAGTACGATACCATAATTGTTAACATTGGCTAGCATTTTGGAGTTCCTAAACCGGAACTCCGCCTTCAGTCAACTTTAGGCTAAATTCAGTACGATTGAGTATATCGAGTTACCGGATAAGATGGCCCCCAAAAGATGCTCTCTCGTTTTCACACAGCGGGGCAACTAGTAACATGTCATCAGTACTACCAGAACCCTAGCTCTAACACATCATCTCGTCAATGTTTGAAATTTGGTAACGAAATATATCGATCAAGCTGTCATGGAAATGTCCAACATGTTAAGAGCCTCGAACATCAAATCTCACTACTTACAAACCGAACGCAGGAAGAACAGCCGTCCATCAGTAAAGCAGCTGTCCATGATCTGATGATTACCTCAGCAGATAGTTGGATGGGCTGTTGATTGAAAATAAACTAATTGCGCCGGCTTGTAAATCTCACTCGGAGAATGTAGTAGTGCTATTTAGGTTGGTTAAGGGGGTTCATGTAGACGGCCACGTTAGGAAAGTGATGGTTAAATGAACAAAATGCGCGTGATACAGTTAGTGGTGATGCACAGCTCATGGTAGGCTAAA